CCTTAGTACTGCCAAAATAAATAAAAATAAAGTAAGATCTGTCATTGAAAACTGAAGTTCTGTTTTGGATCTCATAGAGGATCTGAGAATGAATTCCTTTTCAAATTTATTTTTTTTATTTCTAATTATGTGTGTGTCTGTATGTGGATATGTTCATATGAGTCAGGTGCCTGCAGAGACCAAAGACATTGGAACTACTAGGGCTGGAGTTAGGAGTGGTTGTGAGCCACCCAACATGGGTGTCGGGGACTGAACTCAGGTCCTCTGTGTTGGGGACTGAACTTGGGTCCTCTGCAAGAGAGGCTGCACACTTTTAACTGCTAAGTTATCTCTCTAGCTATTAATATCATCATCATCACCATCATCATCATTATCATCATCATCATTATTGAGACAGGCTCTCACTGTGTAGCTTAAAATGGCCTCAAACTTGTGGCAATCCTCCTGCCTCAGGCTCCTGAGTACTGGGATTACAGATATGCAGAAGGGAGAGAAGCATTACCAGGCTTCAACTGTGCCTGGTTATTGGCACGCCCAGCAAAGATTACTCCAGGGAGCACTGTTAACATTTAAGCAGGACTGTATCCCCATGTGTGGGCCTGCAGGTGTTCAGCACCCGGCCCCTCTCAACACCCAGTGGGTCATTGTAACCACAGCTACCCCACTGCACTTCTAGATGCCTCTTCCAGAAGCCACCCTGACTCTGGCACTGGCTCTCCGTATATACTGTGGAATTTTTTCTGAGCGCTGACGTGTGGCTTCCTCTCTGGCCATGTGCCTCTGTGGCAGTAGAACAGGATGTTCCCTAAGCCAATTTTGTGTTTTTATTACCTGAGATTTACATAATAGCTTATGCTAGTGAAATAGCAAGTATTTATTCTGTACAATGTAATTGGAATATGGTTCTTTTTGTTGATTAAAACTGAGTATAGTCCATATTAGTTAACGGCTTCATTTTGCTTTTCTGTTAAGCTTTATGGCACCATTCATAATAGTAAAAAATATAATAGATTATATGTTCCATCATTACATTCTTTTTTTTCGACACATCATTTTTCTAAGGCGAGGTTTTATGGTAAGAATTTAGAGTTAGAGAAAGTGCTGACTACTACAAATAGTAGTAGTAGTGACTGTTTGCATTCTATACACACGGTTGGCTGATGGTGAATACTTATTTTATCTTGTTTGAGATTAAACTTAACAAGTTGGCAGCATCTCTTGGCCAGCCAAAACTGATAAAGAGGCATTGTCCTTTACTAAACCCAAGGAGTTAGAAGGCTAAAACCCAACTGTACTTATTGAGCAGAATGATTTCTGTAGACTCTGGGTCCTAAATGAAGTATAAGCTTCATTGTGAGAACAGTGACATGTGGATTCATTCATTCAGTCTGTATTTGGGATGTCTGTGTGAACAGCACCAATGATATTTCCTGCTCACATACCAGCATCAATGAACACTGTAAACAAGTCAATTGCAAGTTAAGTTGGGAGAAAGCTCAAGTTGCCAAGGAGGGTGAGGGTGCCAGGATTTGGGCTGGAGCTGTAATTATTTATTTATTTATTTATTTATATAGTTAATCATAGGACTTTACAAAAACACAACTATCAAGAGAAAACACATTTATTTATTTATTTATTTATTTATTTATTTATTTATTTATTTATTTTGGAGACAGGGCCTCATATATCCTAGGCTGACTCTGAATGTGCTATGTGGTTGAGGACCCTGAACTTCTGATCCTCTTTCCTCCAACCCTTGAGGTCTGGGATTACAGCCAAGTGCCATCATGCCCAGTTTATACAGTGCTGGGGATCAAACCCAAGGCTTTGAACATGCTATGCAAGTACCTTGTCCTCTCTACCAGAGCTGTATTCCTATCCCAGGAGTTGCATTTATTTGTTTGTTTATTTATTGCATTTTTGCATTTTGGAGACAGGGTCTCCCTGTAGCCCCAGCTGGCCTGGAACTTACTATGTAGATGAGGCTGGCTTCAGTCACCTGCCTCTGCCTCCAGTGTGCTGAGATTAAAGGTGTGAGCCACCACACCCAGCCTGTAATTTTAATTTAAGAGATTCAGGAAGCTTTCTGGAGGAGACTGAAGAAAAATCATGAAAAAGAATGAATACTTACTGAGCCCCTCGTATGTTTCAGGTGCTATTTAAGAGAAGGGATTGCTAGTTATAACCTCTGAAATTCACCAAGACCAGTTTGCACAACCAGATTATGAGTGTGCACTGTAAAGTGAGGATGTTCCACACTGTGTCTCTGCAGCATGTTTATGAATACTGGTGCTTTGAAAAGTCATCTTGTGATGGCCCGTGTTCTGATGAGATTGTAAGGGATATGTGTGCACTCATGTGTGGAGACCAGAGGTTGACATTCGGTGTCTTCCTCAATCTCTTTCTACCTTTTTTTTGGGGGGGGGATTCTTTCTGAGGTAGGGTCTCCCTGTAGCCCTAGTTGGCGTACAACTCGCTATGTAGACCAGGCTGGCCTCAATCTCACTGAGATCTACCTGTCTCTGTCTCTGCCTCTGCCTCTGTCTGAGATTAAAGGCATGTGCCTCCACGCCTGGTTTCTACCTTATTTTTTTTTAATTTTATTTATTATTTTTATTTTATGTGTATGAGTGTATTGCCTGCATGCAGTGCAATGCCCACGGAGGTCAGAAGAGGCTGTCGGATCCCATGGGACTGGAGTTACTGACAGTTGTTAGCTGCCATGTGGGTGTTGGGATTCGAACCTGGGTCTTCTGTAAGAACAATGAGTGTTCTTAGCAGCTGAGCTATCTCTCCAGCCCCCTCTCCCTTATTTTTTTGAGATGGAATCTTTCACCAAACCTGGAACCAATTTGGCTAGACTGGCTTGCCAGTGAGCCCCAGGGATCCTCCTGTCTTCACCTCCCCAGCACTGGGATTCCAGGCACCTGCCTTTTTTATGTGAGTTCTGGGATTTTCAACTCAGATCCCCATGCTTATATACCAAGCACTTTACTAAGCTTCTCCCTAGTCCCAGGATGAACTTTTTTATTGTTGTTTTGCTAAGTAAACTACTATACTACATGATAGAAAATAGTTTGTTTCCTGAAGGAAATGGGGGTGGGTGGAGACCAAGCATGGAGCTTTAGTTTTTTTGTTGTTTGTTTGTTTGTTTTTCCACTGTAACAAGGTACCAGACAAGAAGCAGCTTAAGGGAGAGAATATTTATTTGTACTCATGGTTTGAGGAGAGACAGTGCATCATGATGGGGGAGGATCAGAGGGCCAGCCTGTCAGCGGGAGTTACAACAGCTTCTTGTTCACATTTCAGAGAACTGGGAGGCAGAGAGAGGTCTCCTTGAAGCAAGGTGGTCTATGTGCCTCCAGGCCCATGCCCCCGTGACTGGCTTTTTCTAGCTAGGCCCCACCTCCTAGTGGTTCCTCAGCCTCCCAAGACAACACCACCAGTTGGGGACCAAGTGTTCAAACACATGAGCCTGTGGAGACATTTCACATTCAAACCATCATGCATGGAGTGATTGGTCCAGGTCCAGTGATCCTTAAAGAAGTACTGCTTCTTCCCAGATGGTCTTGTCATGTTGGTGACAAGAATCCTCTGGGATTGACAGGGCAGAGCAGGAGATATGGCTCCAGGTTGAAAACTTCAGTAGGAAAAGCAGCAGAATCTGGAGAACAGGCGTCTGTCCCACTCTGTGCCAGCAGCCCCATGACCTTGGGCCGTTGCTTCTGCCTCCTCATCTCAGAATGACTGTTTGCTAGAGGTGGTAGTTGGTGCTAAGCACTTTATGTCATTATCTTGTTTAATGGGACAAGCTATAAAGCAGAAGGAGGGTGAATGGCATCAGGTAACCATTGAGCGCTTTTCTAGCTCTCCATGGAGTTCTTTCTCCTTGATGTGCCAGTTCAAAGATGCAGCCAGACCACTGTTTACGTTATGATGAGCTTGTGAACTGAAGTCAGGCCACAGGTACGGTTCTCTAGGTTTGTCTTGGGGGTAAGCCAGAACATAGGGCTGGCTCTGTCTCTTCTGGTCACCCCCTTCTTCCTGACATCTCATGTAGTATGACAGAAAGAATTATTATTTTTTTTAAAGTGTATGAGTGTTTCACCTGCATGTATGTAAGTGTACCACGTGTATGAAGTGCCTGTGGAGGCCAGAAGAGGGCATCAGAGCCCCTGGAACTGGAGTTACAGATGATTGTTAGCCACCATGTGGGTGAACCCAGGTCCTCTGGAAGAGTAGCCAGTGCACTTAACTGCTGTGCCATCTCTCAGCCCCCTGTGTAGTAGTTTGGGGGATGAGATGCTGTGGCAGTGGCTTTGCCGGGATCTTGCTCATACCAGCTCCTGATTTCACTTCTATTTCTCTGCTTTGAAATCCTGATGCCTGAAAGTGACAGACTGGAGCTGGAGGGGAAGTAAGAAATTCCACTTGCTCTGTGAGACAGTTATAGTGCACTCGTTCACTGTTCCCTGTGGCCCTCCATAGTAACAGAATATTGAAGAAGATTGCAACGACTGCTGCAGTTTTTAATTTTGAGCTTACCATGTAGCCAAGAGTGATCTTGAACCCCTGATCCTTCCGCTTCTACCTCTCAAGTGCTGGAATTAGACATATGTACCACCACAGCTGGTTTTATGCGGTCCTGGGAGTGGAACCTAGGGCCAGGCAGGCACTCTACCAGCTGGACTTCACCCCTAGCCCAGGACTTCTGCTTTTTAATGTACTTACTATTGACTTACCTGCTGAAGATCTATAATGTGGTACCCATGTTCCTTTTGGTTCCGTAACACTCTGTTTTGATCAGTGTTTGGGGGTTATAGATAGATGGACCCAGACACAGGCACCTGGGACTGAGCATCACAGCAAAGGCTGACTGTGTACCGATCACTCTGTGGGCTGAGTCTACTGTCTCTGACACCAAAGCTCTATGCTAGCTTGCCATCCCTGTGAAGGGAGACCTTCCACCCCTCATCTCCCCCTTCTTCTTTGTTGTCTAGATGATGAACCAGGTGGAGGGACAGCAGAAGAATCTTGTGCATGCCATCGAGTCCCTGCCAGGCTCTGGCCCCCTCACTGCCTTGGACCAGGACTTGCTCCTCCTGAAAGCTACCTCTGCTGCTACCCTCAGCTGCCTTGGGGAATGCCTCACCCTGCTACAACAGAGTGTGCGCCAGGCAGGCCCACCAAGCCACAAGTCAGGGGCCTCAGGTGAGTACTCCACCCCCAGCCCCGGGCTTGGCTGCTTGGAATGTGTGTATATTGCCCAGTCTGAATGTATACATCCCATTGCATTCCCCTCCCTCCCTCCTCCCTCCCTCCCTCCTTC